CCCATCAAAGACATAAGAATCTGTGACGGATTGATAATGACAAATTCATCATTCCAAGAGGAATGAGGCCAGTAATACTGGAAAGACTGCATGCAGCTCATCAAGGAATACAACGCACCAATGAACATGCAAGGAGATACTTGTACTGGCCAGGCATGTCGACAGAGATCCAGAGCATGGTCGAAAGATGTACAGTATGTCAGCAGCTAATGCCAAAGAACCAAAAAAAAACATTGAAACCCCATGAACTGCCAGAGCTTCCATGGTACAAGCTGGGTGTGGATATATTCGAGTTCAAAGGTCGGTCATTTCTCCTTACTGTTGATTACTTTTCAAAATACCCAGAGGTTCAACAGATTCCTGACAAAGCTGCATGCACAGTAGTTGGAAAACTGAAAGCCATATTCGCTAGGTATGGCATACCCACGGAGATCATAAGTGATCATGTGCCATTTGCTAGTGCAGAGGCGTGTCAGTTTGCAAAAGATGCACCAGCAAGGATGGCCTGTCCACAAGAAACAGCTCGACAGAGATCTGAGGGGTTACTGGCCCAAAGACACAATAAGAATCTGTGACGGATTGATAATGACAAATTCATCATTCCAAGAGGAATGAGGCCAGTAATACTGGAAAGACTGCATGCAGCTCATCAAGGAATACAACGCACCAATGAACATGCAAGGAGATACTTGTACTGGCCAGGCATGTCGACAGAGATCCAGAGCATGGTCGAAAGATGTACAGTATGTCAGCAGCTAATGCCAAAGAACCAAAAAAAAACATTGAAACCCCATGAACTGCCAGAGCTTCCATGGTACAAGCTGGGTGTGGATATATTCGAGTTCAAAGGTCGGTCATTTCTCCTTACTGTTGATTACTTTTCAAAATACCCAGAGGTTCAACAGATTCCTGACAAAGCTGCATGCACAGTAGTTGGAAAACTGAAAGCCATATTCGCTAGGTATGGCATACCCACGGAGATCATAAGTGATCATGTGCCATTTGCTAGTGCAGAGGCGTGTCAGTTTGCAAAAGACTGGGGCATAAACTGGAAATATTCAAGCCCAGGTTACCCAGTGTCTAACGGGATGGCAGAGCGGTCCATAAAAACAATCAAGCTAATGCTAAAGAAAGCTGAGCAAGCTCAGATGGATCCACATCTAGCACTTCTATCACTGAGAAACACTCCGGTGATGGGTCTTGGATACTCACCATCTGAATTGCTCATGGGCCAGGTGTTACGGAGCACTCTTCCAGTAGCCAGTGTGGCTCTGAAACCTAAGCACCCTAAAGATGTACAGAAAAGGTTGGTACAGCAGAGGCAAGCATGTTACTACAACCAACATGCCAAACCTCTGTCTGTGATTCAGCCGGGATCGGTTGTCAAAGTGGAAACATCACAGGGTTGGAAGTGGCGGAGCCTCGTTCCTACAACATTGTGACAAATTCTGATCAGACATACAGAAAGAACAGGAGACACTTGCGTACAAGCAAAGACAAAGATCTAACAGGTGTTGTGGAGGAAGTTGAAGGAGATGACACAGAAGGGACTGTCCAGAAAGACCATGTGCGAGATCAAACTGTAGTGGCCGAAAACACTGAGCTAGGAAATCGTACTAGGAGTGGGAGGCTTGTAAAAAAGCCAATTAGATTCAGTGATTTTGAAATTAGCCAAGAAGAAAAGAAGAAAAAAAAAGAGCCAGAAATATGTTATGTTTGTGTTTTGAGTGTTTTGGATAAAGACAAATAACAAACATGTATCCAGGTGCTGTTTATTATTCCAACTGTTTTGAGCTGTATATTAAGTGAGTGGTAAAACTTGTTTATTACATGTTGGGGAGTTAGTATTTTTTATTTTCTAGCATTTTCTCTTAAATGTCTTAAAAGGGGGGGGATGTAGTATATCCGGCTGCATATAGGTTATTAAAGTAACTTGGTCTAGAGTATTGATGCTAGTTACATCAACGTCCCACTAGAGGACAGTGTTATGCTGAGGTGAAGTGGTTACTTCCTGTCTGCGTGTGTTCTGGTGGTGGTATTACAAAGAAGATTAACTGTCACAGTGCTCTCCTCTCATGTTTTATGAATAGAACCCACATTGTGAGAACATGATAGTAGCAAGGTATTTTACACGTAGCAAGGTATCAGTGTAGCTGCCTTAATAGACGTAACAAAAATGCTTTAAAAAGATTTATCCCACAACTATTTACAGAAACTATTACACTGGTATGACGGATTTTAAATGTTAAAGCTTCTGTGACCACTGTAAGACCCTAAATGATCCCCCAATGAAACCAAACTGGCACAAAACAGATCTCATGCAACAAAACAATAAAACTAATCTGGAGAAGAGATCTCCAAAGAGAGAAAATGACACCACCTTGCCCAAACTTCCCTCGTTGCTCATTTATAACCCCTCTCTTCCCTCTCACTCTTCTCCCCCAACAGGCTTCACTGAATATACATATACAGTGGTGTGAAAAGGTTTTTGCCCCCTTCCTGTTTTTAAATTTTTTTTTGCATATTTGTCACTTAAAAGATTCAGATCATCAAACAAATTTTACTATTACACAAAGATAATGCAAGTAAATACAAAATGCCGTTTTTAAATGATTTATTTTAAGGGAAAAAAGCTGTCCAAACCTGCCTGGCCCTACGTGAAAAAGTAATTGCCCCCTAAGTCTAATAACTGGTTGTGCCACGCTTTGCAGCAACAAATGCAATCAAGTGTTTGCGATAACTGGCAATGAGTCTTTCACATCGCTGTGGAGGAATTCTGGCCCACTCTTCTTTGCAGAATTGTTTTAATTCAGCCACATTGGAGGGTTTTCGAGCATGAATGGACTGTTTAAGCATCTCAATCAGATTTAAGTCCGGACTTTGATTTGGCCACTCCAAAACCTTAATTTAGTTTTTCTTGAGCCATTCAGAGGTGGACTTGCTGGTGTGTTTGGGAGATTGCAAAAAAATTAAAAATAAAAAACCTTGTCGCGATAACGAGAAAATTAAGTCGTTATAACGAGAAAACAACTTTTGTTATGTCGAGATAACGAGAAAACAAGAAAAAATAATAATATTGCATGGCCGCTTAGAACACATCTGTTGGTCAAAGCCACGCAGGAACACCGCAAACATTGCATGTGATGCATGAAATGGACAGCTAATAAAACTAATAAATCATCGAAATACACATCTATAAATTAAGTTTATATGTGTAATGGCTTTCATTTCTTCATAAAATGCCTGGATTTCTTAACTGAAATATTGGTCTGGAATGTTTGAAGCCAACTATATCTGGCAGAGTAACTACACTTTAGATTACAGAACAAAGCAATGTTTGCGATGTTCGTGCATGGCTTTGACCAACAGATGGCGCTAGCGGGCTGTCACTCTTGCGTTGCGCATGCGTCGAGTAAGTCTTTTTTTTTTGGATTAGGCTAAATCATTATTACGAGAAAATAAGTCATGATTACAAGAAAGTTTCTCAATATAACGAGATACTAAGTCATAACTTTGAGAAAGTTTCTCATTATTATGACTTACAGAATTATATTTTTGACTTAGTTTCTCATAATAATGACTTAGTATCTCGTAATAATGAGAAACTTTCTCGTAATAATGACTTAGTATCTCGTTATAATCACACTTTGTAAATAACATATCTATGTGCACACTAATAAACATATCTGTACATTTATCTAAACAATTACATTTTTTCCTATACTTCTATTTCTGTATATAGTACATTCAATTTTTATATTACATCTCTACTGTGTTATTCCTATGTATGTCTACACTATCATGTATGTCTGCACTATGTTTGTACTTTCTTCTACACTGGAAGCTCCTGTCGTCAAGTCAAATTCCTTGTGTGTGTAAACATACTTGGTAATAAAGCTCTTCTGATTCTGAAACGGGCTTCCATACCTGTTTGGCAATATTTTGGATTTTGAAAAGCCTGTTGACTTTTGCCGTTTATCTAAGGTGATTTTGGAAGGTTTTTATTTAAACATTCGTTTCTTTTTTAATTGGTTCCACATTGTTTGCTGATTTTTACTTTAAGCTGTCATTTATTTTATTTGACATTCGTTTTGCTAATAAACTACGTTCTACGCTTCTTATTTATTTGGTTATATATACACATGTTTACTTATTTCCAGTTTTATATACCTATTAAACTTTATGTAAAGTTACTTATTTTATATTAGGCATAGCTTGTCCTAATAGCATGGTGTATTTTTATTTGTTTTGTTAAAAGTTCTATGTTTTATATATAGGCTAAAGCGAGTTTGACATATTTTGTTGTTGCATTCAAGCAATTGACGCCGGACTGCCGCTAATTCAAAAGTGAAAGTAAAAGGCGCACAGTGCTTTTAAGCTATTTAAAAGCGAAGGAAAAGAGGGAAAATTTAAACGAACTAAAAACGAACAATTGCTTTACTCAGAATTGCCGCTATTTTAAAGTGAAAGTAAAATGGGCACACCACTTTTACAAGCGATTTAAAAGAAAGCGAGGAAAAGAGGGAACGCCCCGCCCCCACGGTGATACCGGTATTATCGGTGTTGTCACACGTCGATTAACCGGTGGGAAAATTCTCACCGTCACAACCCTAGTTCTGGGTTCTTTTATGACCTCCTGCATGTTGTGCTCTTGGAGAAATTTTGGTTGGCCGGCAACTCCTGGGAAGGTTCACCATTGTTCCAAGTTTTCTCAATTTGTGGATAATGGCTCTGACCATGGTTTGCTGGAGTCCCAAAGCCAAATGGCTTTATAATCCTTTCCAGACTTGATACATGTCAACTGTTTTGATTCTCATCTGTTCTTGAATTTCTTTAGATCGCGGCATGATGTGTTGCTATTTAAGCATGCTTCACTTTGTCAGACAGGTTCTATTTAAGTGATTTCTTGATTCAACTGGTCTGGCAGTAATCAGGCCTGGGTGTGGCTAGTGAAATTTAAGACTTTCTAAAATAATGTGGTTAATTGCAGTTCTTTCATGATTTAACAGGAGGGGGCAATTCATTTTTACTTTACTTTATTTAACGGATTTTATAAGGAGGCAGATTGATGAAGGTAAAATGTGTAGTACCACAGGGAAGTGTTTTAGGCCCTCTTTTGTTTCTTTTATATATTAATGACATGCAAGCAGTTTGTGATTGTAATTTGTTTTTATATGCTGATGATTCTGCTTTGTTAATTTCAGATAAGGATGTTGGTAGGATACAACTGCATTTAGGTAAGGAGGTTTGTATGGTAAGAGAGTGACTCTCTGAAAACAAACTGATGTTGCATTTAGGTAAAATGGAATCCATTTATTTGGGTCTAAAAATAATTTGAATAAGGTTTCTAAAATGTCTGTTGAGGTGGGGGATTGTTTAATATCAAATAGAACTTCTGTTAATTATCTTGGATGTGTCCTTGACAATGATTTAAGTGGTGCAAGTATGGCTATGAAAGTTCTGGGTAAGGTTAATGCTAGGACTAAATTTCTTGCCAGACATGTTAGTTTTCTTGATAAACAGAGTATAAAATTACTTGCATCATGTTTAGTGCCATGTCATTTCGAATATGCATGCATTTCTTGGATGTCTGATTTGTCTCGTGGTTGGTTGGATACGTTACAAAAATCTCAGAATAAATTGATAAGGCTAGTTTCAGGGTATAGTCGTTTTACACATGTGGAGGTTTCCCATTTTAAGTGTCTAGATTGGTTACCTATAGAAAGCAGACTAGAACATTAAATAAAAAATGGTACATAATATTAATAATAATAGAGCTCCTTGTCTGTGATACATTTTGTCTGCATAATTTAAGTACCTTGTGCTCTAATCTTTAAACTGCAATTGTCATCTTTTGTGTATGTATTGCGACATACTCAACAGATTATGAAGTCAAGAGAACATGCTGTTTTTTTCCTTGATCCTTGTAACAAAGTTTGTAGATCGGGAAGAAGGAGGCGGGAACCGGCGAACAGTTAAGACTTTAATAAAATAAACACACAAAACGAAAGTAAAGCCACACAAAATAAAGTCCAGGCCTGGTCCTCTCTCGTCTTTCACTGTCGTAGCTCTTCTTTTTTATCCTTCCGGAGCTCCTCCGTTGGGACTCGAGACCGGTGAGTGGTGCAGGTGTCGCTCATTATCAATTACTCCACCGCCCTCGCTCCGCTCCGCCCCACTCGTCACAATCCTCTTTATGGCATTACATACAGCCAGGAAGAATACATGCGCATCTACAGGTTTTACAGGGTTGTAACAAAGTTTGTAGATCGGGAAGAAGGAGGCGGGAACCGGCGAACAGTTAAGACTTTAATAAAATAAACACACAAAACGAAAGTAAAGCCACACAAAATAAAGTCCAGGCCTGGTCCTCTCTCGTCTTTCACTGTCGTAGCTCTTCTTTTTTATCCTTCCGGAGCTCCTCCGTTGGGACTCGAGACCGGTGAGTGGTGCAGGTGTCGCTCATTATCAATTACTCCACCGCCCTCGCTCCGCTCCGCCCCACTCGTCACAATCCTCTTTATGGCATTACATACAGTCAGGAAGAATACATGCGCATCTACAGGTTTTACAGGGCACTGTTGGGAGTTCAGATATTGCGGTCGTTCCTAACCGCATTTTGATAAGATTGTGGTTGTTCTTAACCACATGTAGGATTTTATGTGACTTGTTCATTCAACTTCATTTTATTGATTTATTGAAAGGGTTTTGAAGTTAGTCAAGTGTCAATGAAAACAGTCATAATACTAATGGGAAGTTCTGGTTCTGCCCCATATTTCAGTTCTCATGTGTTTTCTTTGGTGCAGTATTGTAAGTGTTTTTAAATATTGGTGTTTGCTTTGGATTTGTCATCACAGAAACATTGCACAAATCCTGTCTCCTGGGCCTTGGCGTGAATACTGTGTCAACGATATTATGGTACCATTGTTTATTTGAATAACTGTAAAAACACTGGAAAATCCTAGACTTTACAAGGTAGTTTAAACTTGCATGGTAACATCAACAGGGCCTTCCACGACAACATCTCAGCAACAGCTGTGGTGTCTTTGTCCTGATGGTAAGTTTATAGAGCTGTTGTGTTGCTTACTTGATTTTTAACCAATAAATGTATCAGTGTAAATGTGTTTAATGTTTACCATTTCAGTATTCACTGTACTTTGTGACATCAGGGGCCTTTGATTTTACAGAGGTAAGTGAAATCTGCAATGGTAACCCTCATATTTCTTAAAAAGACTATATCTTTTTATCTCCGACTGACATAAGTGCAGCCTTGGTGATCATGAGATCATAAATTGGCTAATTTGTGCAAGTAAATTTATTTAAACTGGTTGTTAAACATTCAAATGGATTGTGTTATGTTCTGTAATTGCTGTTAATATATCTGTCGGAAAAAAATATGCTAAAGTTTCACCTTTAGGGGTACAACAGCCTGGCAGCCTTTTACAAAAATTAACCATGGTTTTATTACAGTAACCACAGTTTACCACAGTATTTGTAGTAAAACTGCAGTAATCACAAATTTACCATGGTAATAATGATAACACATTTTAGTACTTATGTAACACCATGTTTATTTTTCATGAGGTACCCTCATAGGTGCACATTTGTAACTGGTCTACCCTTAAAGCCTGCATACTTGTGTGGTACTAATATGCTCCCTTTTAGGGGTATAGTTGCACCTTTGAGGTTATTGCCCCAGTAAAGGGCTAAAATACAATTATAGTATATTTTATTTCTGACAGTGTAAACAAAAAAGGCCTATGAAATGTTATCTATGAAATGTTATCTTATTAATGATTTATGTTTGCATCGTAACTGTCTTGATGTATATGGAGAGATAGGAATCCTGGTAAAGTTGAGTTTACTTGGAGTAGTAAGGATGGTTCCAAACAATCCAGAATTGATTTTTGGTTATTATCTGAAGATTTAATACAAAAAGTTAAGGAAATTAAAATAATACCTTCCATTCTTACTGATCACAAAATTATTCATGTTATTGTTAGTTTTGATAGTTTGGCTGGAAAAAGTTCAGGGTTTAATTATTGGAAGTTAAATAACTCTCTCCTTGAAAATGAACAATTTCAAAAAGCTGTTAACGATATTATAAAGGACTCTTACAGTAAGGCAAACACTGTAAAACATGTCCTTGTAAATTAATGGTAATATACTGGCAGCAGGGTTTCCAGCAGTGTACCGTAATTTTACAGTTTTATTACTGTATTCTGAATTACGACTTTTTTGTAATTTTACGGTAAAATGCTGGCAGCAGGGTTTCCAGCAGTGTTCTGTAATTTTACAGTTTTATTTCTGTATTCTAGATTGTTGTTTTTTTCTCTTTAATTAAACGGTAGAACTGGCCATTTTGCCAATCATTAACTTTATTATAAATATCTGTACTTGAACAAATTCACAAACTGGCATTGTAATTTCATTTATACAAAAAAAGTGGCAGCAAATACACAGAAAAGAGAAGACCAAGAGGGTATTTCTTATAGCACAGTATTTATTCAAGTACCCAAGCAATAATTCAAATGCTTTCTCAAAAAAGTTATCAAAATGGAAGAAGCAATTTGCAATCCAATGGAAGAATCAGTCTTTGTGCATGTTAGAGAAAGATGAGATGAAGAGACAAGAAAAATGAACCATAGCATTACAAAACAGTCAATGTGCAAATTGAACCCTGCAGAAGTCTGTAGACATATTTAAACCGATTTAAGTTACTATATAACCACAAAACAAGCTGCCATTTAAAGGAACACTCCACTATTTTTGAAAATAGGCTCCATTTTCCAACTTAAACAGTCGAGTTTTACCATTTTCGAATCCATTCAGCCGATCTCCGGGTCTGGCGGTAGCACTTTTAGCTGTAGCGTAGCATAGATCATTGAATCTGATTAGACTGTTGGCATAAAATAGGCTTATTGGAAGTTACCTAGCTGGGACTATTTTCAGGCGCTGCGTAATATCATTGCGCCTGCTGCACCCAATGTACGGCAGCAAAGTTCCTTGATTATTACGCCGGAATGAGAGTATAGTTCCTTGCCATATCGGCCTAGAAAATCGCAACTTTTCATTTTCCGCCGGTCTTACTACACGATGTAACTACAGAAGAGTCAAGTTTTAAATAGGAAAAATATAGAAACTCTTTGGTCATTTTTGAGCGAGATGCTAACGGTATAATCAGGAGCTTCACGCAAGAACAATACTACAGCGAGAATAAAAGTTATGCCTTCTTTCTTTGCGTGAACATTTGGGCAGTGTTATGCAAATCTTCCCACACAATGACGATTGATATGTGGGGGTGTGTTTAAACGAGGCGTTTTAGGAGGGCATGGACAAGTCTGAACTTTTATAAAGAATATCTCTTTGGGTTTGAAACTTTAGTCTTTGCAACTTTAGGGATCTTATCTATGCACGAACAGCTAGTAACACTCCAAAGAGAAAGGAAAATTTGAAATTGCATCATATGACCCCTTTAATTGACTATAATTTTTTTAATTCATGAAGAAAGTTATATATTATTTGTTGATTATTATAAAGCCTTTGACTCTGTGGACCATTCATTCGTGATGGAGACTCTCGGTTTCTTTGGCTTTGGCAATAATTTTATTAGAGCGATTCGTATGATTTATAGTAATTGCAATACTTCTATTAAATTACCTTTTGGAACAACTCCCAGATTTAATTATGGAACGATATTCCGGACAATTTTCAAATAGAATAGCAAATTGTATTTGTTATGCAAGTGTTGTGTCTTCACATTAAAAAGAATCCATTTCAGGGTATTTGTTTACTTGACAAAGAAATAAAATACTCACAGCTTGCAGATGACAACTATTTTAGTAACAGAGAAATAGATGCAGCACTTAGGTGTTTAAGATAGGTTTTCATCAGTTTCAGGCTTAACTGTAAATATTAATAAATGCAAACTGTTTCCATTGAAAGATATACCTGATGGTGTGGTGGAATTGTGTGGTATACCAGTTAAAAAACATGTTTCTTATTTGGGAATCAAAATTAGTAAAAATCAGAAGGAAAGAACTGATTTAAATTAGCTTCCATTGATTGATAAAGTACAAAAGAAATTTAATTCTTGTTTAATTAGAGATTTATCTTGAATGGTAGAATATTACTATCAAAAGCTGAAGGACTGTCAAGATTATCTTATACAGCAATAATTTTAGATACTCCAAAGTCAATTATTAGGCAAGTAAATAAGAAAATGTATAACTTTATTTGGAAGAATAGACTACATTATTTAAATAGACATATTAGGTCATTTATTTCATCAAGGTGGTTTAAATGCTTTTGACTTTGGAGTATCTAATGCTATCTTTAAAATTAAATGATTAAAATTAAACAAACAATTTATATCCCCACAGGTGTTTGATTAGGAACAATAAAGATGTTAAATATAAGAATAAGACACTTTTTCGATTATTGGTTCAGAAATAATATTTTATTGGTGACACAGTTGTTTCGTCCTGATGTTCTCTTTCTCTCATATGGAGAATTTTTAAATAAATTTAAACTTCCAATTTCTGCAAAGGATTATGCAGTGGTCTTTGATGCTATAACTTCTGGTCTTCTTCAATTGCTGCAGGCTGCTGATGCTTTTGATTTGAATATAACTAGTGACTTAAATTTAAAGTTAGATGGTATAAGTATTCTTGATAAAAAAATGCAATAATAATTTTCTTTAACATATTTGTCGGCCTTTTAGGATACCCCCAGCTAAAAGTTTTTGGAATTCCCGCTTCCAGGACATTAACTGGGAGGAGGCTTTTATGATCTCCAGGAGATACTGTCATCAATAAGATTCGCGAGGTTTCATTTAAAATTGTTCATTGTATTTATCCAGTAAATGAGGTTATTAAAAGATTTAAGAAGGATATTGATTTGAAATGTGTGTTTTGTAATTTGAATGATGAAAGTATATGCCATCTTTTTTTTTTATTGTATTTGTACTAAATTATTCTGGTGTGATTTTAAAATCTTCTTTGAAGAGATTTCGGGAATTGACATTACTTTAGAAGATTTTATATAATAATATATAATATTATATATAAATTAATATAATATTATCAAAATAAAATAATTGTTTATTATATTAGGGAAATATCACATTTATAAATGTCGATGGTTGAAGAGAACACCTAGTTTTTTACCATTTAAATTTGAGCTCTGTCAGTATCTTAAAGTGATGGAAGGTGTAAGGAACTCTAAAGCAAAAAAGACTAGATTATTGTAAAGCCTTGAAACTTTATCCTTTTTAAGGACCTTTGCATTTATTTTGTAGTTAGAGATATGGATTTGTTCTCAATACCCCTATGTATATAGATCTTTTTTCTTCTTTCCTTAATTTGCATGATTTTTTTTACAATTATTGTCTTTTTGAATTTATTGACATTTTTGCTTTTATTGTTAATTTGTATGGGAATTGTCACTAAATAAAGCATTTAAAAAATAAAAAAAGTTTACGGATACCATAGGAATGAATGAGAAGTGCCGTAAGTTGAATCCAACCTGTTGCAAAAAGTCAGTGACTTTTCTTATAAAACGGCATTTTTTTCGTGGTAAACTCTAAAAATAGTTCAATCCGAAAGTATTGTTTAGTGTAAAACATGTTGAACATTAGCAGATAGGCTGTCGATTCATTAAATGATAAGCCGTTTCCTCTAAAAAGCTGTTTATTCAGTGTAGTGAAGCCTCTCCTCCATTGACATCCATTAAAAAAATGGCCTCTGGTCTCCTTTCCCACGTACTGCCAGACCAGAAGTGTTCGCTTTAGCCGTTACGCTTTTTTCCGCTAATGGTTGCAGGCTTGCCTTCTAGTGGCTTTGAATGCAACAAGAAAACAGTGCAGCGAGAGTGACTGATATCACCAAAATAAAACATAGCTAAATTTAAGGCAAATGAAAATCCTCATTACACATGCACCATCACACAGTAGGTCTGTACACAAAACCAACAAATGTAATGTTTAATGTAAGCCAAAACATCATGACAGCGCTCACAGCAAAAAAATGTAGCGACAGATACTCCATTACAAACAAGCAGTGCTTATATTAAATAATATTATCACTGGCACAGCGGCCCAGTAAATGTCCTCACTTGCTTATTTGTGGCTTCCACTGTGACGTGAATAATAGCTAGTTAGTTTATCAGCGTATAAATGTGTATATATATTTGTTATTTTTTATTTATTTATTTATTCAAAAAAAAAAATTTCGATGGAGATTCCACAGCGGACAGAACTTGTCATAAAGTTAGTGATAACAAGGCCTGCGCATTTAGAGGAAAGATATGATTGGTCAGTTTTTTTGTCATTTAAAGGGGTCATATGATTTTGCTAAAAAGAACATTATTTTGTGTATTTGGTGTAATGAAATGTTTATGCGGTTTAAGGTTAAAAAACACATTATTTTCCACATACTGTACATTATTGTTGCTCCTCTATGCCCCGCCTTTCTGAAACGCGTAGATTTTTACAAAGCTCATCGGTCTGAAAAGCGAGGTGTGCTCTGATTGGCCAGCTATCCAGTGCGTTGTGATTGGCCAAATACCTCAAGCGTGTGACGGAAATGTTACGCCCCTTACCATACTGTTGATGCCATGTCCCGGCCAGAGCGACGAGACAAAAACATTAAAACCCATTATAAACGAGGCATTTGTTGCATCCAGTGGGGACATAATTACGGATTATAATGACTTATACTGTCTTTTTACGCGTTGCGTTGCATCGCGTCGCGTCGCGTAAACATAAAACCATGTCTGCATTTGTGATCGGAGAAACAGCGGGAGAGATAGGGTATGTGCTTTCCAAACATACAGTGCCACCCACTAATATTGGTACCCTTGGTAAATATGAGCAAAGGCGGGTGTGAAAATAAATCTGCATCATTTATCTTTTTTGTGAAAAAATTCACAAAATTCTAAACTTTCGTTGAAGTAAAACAATTGAAAGTGGGGAAACTCACATTATGAATAAATGTTTTTCTCCAATGCATGTTGGCCACAGTTATTGGCAAATAATGAGTAAAATATCTCTGAAGTATATTCATTCATATTTACATTTTGTAGCACACCAGGGTGACTGAAATTGTCCAGCCATGACTTCCTGCTCCACAGGTTTATAAATATGAGGAACATAGGCCAAATTCCGTTAATCATCCATCACAAGGTGTAAAACCAAATAATATAGTTCTGATGTACAGAACAAGATTGTTGAGCTTTACAAAATAGAAAGTGGCTGTAAGAAAATAGCTAAAGCATTGAAAATCCCCATTTCCACAGGGCAATAATTAAGAAGTTCCAATCAACTAAAGATGTTACAAATCTGCCTCGAAGCGGACATGTGTCTATATTGTCCTAATGCACGGTGAGGAGGAGAGTTTGAGTGGCCAAACACTCTCCAAGGATCACGGCTGGAGAATTGCAGAGATGAGTTGAATCTTGGGGTCAGAAAGCCTAAAAAATATATATCAAACAGCCCCTACATTACCATCACCACATGTTGTTCATATTGGTTTCAAGAAAAAAAAAATTCCTGGCTCATCCAAAAACAAACTCCCACATATTCAGTTGTCAGACACGAATGGAACTTCAAATGGCACTGGCATCTATGGTCAGATGAAACATAAAAAAGAGCTTTCTGGCAGCAAACCCACCAGATGGGTTTGGTGCAAACCATAGACTGTATAAAAACATGGACGTAGTGTCCGTGACGTCACCCGTAGGTTTCCCAGGGGTGTGGACTGGAGTCACTTGACTGGAGACTTGACTCGGCCTCGAGTCACAAATCTGACGACTTGCGACTCGACTCAAAATAATTAAAGAAGACTTGAGAATCGACTTAGACTTTGACAGCAATGACTCGAGACTTGACTTGGACTTGAGCCCTGTGACTCGGAAAGACTTTATGATCAGATCAAAGTCATTATAGACAGCAAACCCACCAGATGGGTTTGGTGCAAACAGGGATAAAAAGTACCCCATGCTCATGGTTAAATATACTGCTCGATCTTTAATGTTGTGGGCCTATTTTTCCTGGAAGGTCCTGGAAGTCTTGTTCAGATGCATGGCATCATGGATTCTATCAAATACCAACAGATAAAAAAATCTAAACCTGGCAGCCACTGTAAGAAATCTTTTAATGGACCATGTTTGGATCTTTCATCAAGTCATTGATAAAAAAATAAAAAAAACATCAAAATCAACACAAAAATGTGTCACTGAGCACAAAATGCTCCTCTGACCGTCAGTGGTGTGACTGTGGAGAGGGTGAGCAGCACCAAGTTCCTGGGTGTGCACATCACAGAGGATCTCTCCTGGACTGACAACACCACAGCACTTGTCAAGAAAGCACAGCAGCATCTCTACTTCCTCCGCAAACTGAGAAGAGCCAGAGCCCCGGCCCCCATCATGTGCACCTTCTACAAAGGCACCATCGAGAGCATTCTGACGAGCTGCATCACTGTGTGGTATGGCGCCTGCAACGCGTCCTGCCGCAAGACACTTCAGCGCATAGTGAGAGTAGCTGAGAAGATTGTTGGTGCCTCTCTCCCCTCCCTCCAGGACATTTACAACACCCGTCTCACCCGCAAAGCCCTCTGCATTGCAGGTGATCCCACCCACCCGACACACAGCTTCTTCAGTCTGCTGCCATCAGGGAGGAGACTGCGGAGTCTCCAGGCCAGGACCAGCAGACTGAAGGACAGCTTCATCCATCAGGCTGTCAGGAAGCTGAACTCCCTCCCGACCTTGCCCCTCCTCCCCTCTTTTGCCTCATGCACCACTGAACTCTGACCCTCTGATGGACTCTCCCACTCCCCCCTCCCAAATACACACACACACTGTCACTTTAATCAGTCTGAATAAGCTCTTTTGCACTACAATCATTATATCTGCACTGTTGTTTACTTCACTGGTTTGCACTCTCTCTGCCATGCACCTTGTGCTGCTTTATATATTTTTTTACATTTTACCTTATTTGTATAATTGTATAGTTGTATTTTATATTTAAATCTGTATTTATGTTCTACTGTTAGTGCTATCTGTATGCACCAAAGGTCTGAGAGTAACGCAATTTCAATTCTCTGTGTGTATGTGCTGTACATGTGGAAGAATTGACAATAAAGCAGACTTGACTTGACTTGAAAATGAAGCTTCTGCCATGGCTGTCTCAGTTCTCTGACCTGAACCCTATAGACAATGAGTGGGGTGAACTGAAGAAAAGAAGCACCAACATGGAGCTGTGAATCTGAAGGATCTGGAGAGATTCTGGATTAAGGAATGGTCTCTGATCTCTTATCAGGTGTCCTCCAAAATCATCAGGCATTATAGGAGAAAACTCAGAACTGTTATCTTGGGAAAGGAGATTGCAAAATGTACTGAATAAAAGGGTGCCATTAACTTTAGCCAATGTGTATAAGAGAAAAACATTTATTTCCTAATGAGCTTCCCCCCACCGCCTTTTTGTTCTTTTATCAAAACGGATTAATGTGAAATGTGCTTCACGCTTGCTTCGTCTGCTATAGCTGTAGGCCACGAGAAAGTGGAAAGGTTAGTGACATTAAGCAGGACAAGCTGAAATGCCTGGGTAGCCTGCAGTGTTGCAGACTTAGTTTGTGTTGCAGTCAATTTGTTGCTAGATTTGGCAACTCCTCAAACCTTGTCCACATTAATAAGTTTCCGTTAAAAATGCATCTTTTCCTCTCGTTTTGGCCTTCCATCCACACTCAAACAAGGAGTCCAGGAAAACAGAGCTTTTAAAATGCTTCCCAGAGTGGATACATTTGAAAATGCTGTTTTCACGTTGTAGTATGGACTGTGGAAACGGAGGCTTTTGAAAATGATGACGCAT